GTGCAAGCACTGTTCAGACTTGGATGATATTGTAGGTTTTACGATTGTTCTCTGTCTTAATCTCTTTAATTCAAGTCAATGCTTGGGACAGAGTCACATCCTGGGAACCACAAAAAGAACAGGAGTACTTGTGGCACGTTAGAGCCTAACAAATTTATTTGAGCATAAGCTTGGAACATATAGTAAGAAGATATATATACATACAGAGACCAACTTTCACCTTTTCATGTTCTCTGTATGTATATATATATATCTTCTTACTATATGTTCCATTCTATGCAGCTGATGAAGTGGACTGTAGCCCACAAAAGCTTATGCTCAAATAAATTTGTTAGGCTCTAAGGTGCCACAAGTACTCCTGTTCTTTTTGAGGATACAGACTAACACGGCTGCTACTCTGAAACCTGGGAACCAGGCATTGGTGTTTGGGCTGAAATTTCTGAAAGAGGTTTGCCCTCTTGCTGTTTGTAACTACCTCCATTAAGGGACTGGTGTATTAGTGTAAATAAAGCAAGCTACCCTAAGGAAATACCCCACATCACTGATTACTCTGCATCACTGATTTTTTCTCTAATGGGAAACTGATGTGCATGACCCAACATCTGCTATTAGCTGGCAGAGGGCTGACAATATATTGCATGGCACCTTACATAATGGGGCCAGGATGGCTGAGACATTACTGCAATTTAAATATTTAAGTGAGGAAGATGTTTGATATGAAGGTAATCATTTTATACCAGATTGTTATTGGAATGTGGAACAGTGGCTGAAGACAATGTACATAATGAAAATTTGACCAAAGGCAGAGATAATTAAATTCAGCCACATGTAATAACTAGAAATATATAGTGAATAGCAAAATGAGGCAGGGCATGCCTGACACTGAGTACTGGTTCTCTCCAATCACAAATTCTGTGTGTTTTGCATTGACAGCATCATCCCTATGGGGCCAATCCACCTGTGGAGTAACTATAGAAATAAATGGAGTTGCACCAGGGATGGATTTGGCCTTACACATTTGAAATAAAAAGGTAAGTGTTTTAAACCAACCACAGCTTGGAAGACTCACTTGGAATACCAGGCAACCAGGCATTATAAGTGAAAGTCTTTGCAAGAGGTGGGGAAGACTAGCTTTGAAGCTGAAGATTAAGGTACATATTTTCTCAATACAGCAAATGAGAATGCAACTTGCAGAGGACCAACAGCTGAGGAGAGGGTGTGGGAACCAGAAGTACATTCAATGGTTGGGAGGTTGTTGAAAGTTAAGATCAGGAGAACAGATAATTTGGAGGGCTGCAATTTCTCCTGCTCCTGCCTCCCCTATATTCAATCCCTAATTGGCAGCCGACTTGAACAAAGTAAGCAGCAATGACACCCAACACGGAAGGGCAATTGCTTCATTATTAATGTGTGCAAATGCCACCACCCTCCTAGTTTAATCTTTATCTGTTTTGATAGGATGATAATTAAATTCAAACACAACACAACAAACAGCCCCACTTTGTCTCTTGCAGGGCGGAGGGCGAGGGAAAGGGGAATCAGCCCCTTAATTACTGTGTGCACAGCACTTTGAAAACGTAAATCACTCGCTAGGTGCTAAGTATTCCTAGTATTATTTAGCGGCAGCCCCAGGCCTGGGCCAACTTTGTTTTAGTTGCAGATGCAGGGGAGCATGGACTCTGCCTCCCAGGTGGGAGGGGAGAAAAGGCCAGAGGGGGCCAGCAGATGGGACACTCCTCCGCCTGTTGGCTTGCTGGGGAATCTGTCATTGAAAAACGAGCAGTGGGGGAAGAATAGCTTCTTCTAGCCCCTCCCTATAAAGGCCAGCGGCAGGCCCCCAGCCTGACATAGTAGCTGCTGAGCGAGACACAAGGGTGGGTGAGGTAATATTTTTTATTGGACTAACTTCTGCTGGTGAGAGAGACCAGCTTCCACAGCTCTTCTTCCCCTGCCTCTCCTCTCCTCAGGCTGCTCTGCACAGCCCCTGCACACAGCCTTTGAACCCAGCACTGCTCCTGCAACTCTCTGAAGAGCTGCCTCCTCCCTCAGTGGGTCTAGAGTTTCCCTCCCCTCCCTCCTGGCTGCTGCCATAGTGATGTGGAAACAGATCGCTCTGTCTCCAGGGGAGCAGCGCGGGGGAAGGACTCCTTGGAGCTGGAGCTGCTGCGGGTAGGGCTGGGAGCGGGGCTGCCCCTCGGGTTCTGAGTCCTGCCTGCTGTCCTGTGCCTACTAGCTCCTCCCAGGTAATGGGCTCCTGCTCCTTCTCAGTCCCCGCACTGGGGCAGGGAGGGGACACCGCTTTCTCTGCTCTCCAAGCTGCGATTTTCCTGCTGGGAGGATGGGTGAGGCCGTCTCTGGTGAGCAGCGGGGCAGGTGCTTCTGCCCGAGCCAGACCAAGCGAACACTGACTACACCTGGGAAACCCCAGGCCCCTCTGGGTGGCTGAGGCATGAATGGGCTTTGGCTGCCCCATGGAACCAGGAGTGTGCAGCATGCTGCTTTCTACCGTCCTTGTGTTGGGTAAATAATGTTTGCAAGTTAGTCTTCTCACTGCCCTTCATTTGTCTCCTCCCCCCTGTAGTTATTTCTTGAGGGACTGGAGAACCCGAAATATAAGCATCTGATCGGTGTTGGACTCGGTGGCATTATTTTTAGGTGTGCTTCTCTCTGCACACACCGCTCTCCCACCAGACTAGTGCCAAGGGTGGAAGAAATGTTATGAAAAGATGTGTTACTTGGAAAGTTGGCGTGTTTTGGGGGGTGAAAACCATGTTGCTCAAAAATCCTCTTGTTTTTGCATGACAATAGAGTAAAAGTAGCAGCAGTTTTGAATATGCAACAAAATGAGGGGCAGGCTTGAACTTCAACCCGTTCGGATTTAGTCAGACAGCTCTTGCCCATTTCTAGTTAACAATTTCTAGTCTGTTAAATCGTTAGACTAAGCTTCTCCCAGGCAGACTCCAGCTGAGACAATTTGAATGAGGGGGATTAAAAAATATATGAGGAGGATTTTAAGCGTCACATCGAAACACACTCCCTAGGGAACAAGATTTTAAAACCTCCATTTAAAATTTATCCAAAAGGAGGGACTCAACTTCAAAAGTCTGGATCCAATATTTTTAAAGACTCCTAAAAGCTTAACATTTGGGGTATCTTATGTTTGCTTATAATTTGACATGTGCACTGTTTACTATTTATAGTGTGTTTAGTATGTATTCATTCTAAGGGGGAAATGTAACCATTAAAAAGCTTCATGCGCTTTTGAATGTACTGTACTCCAGGTGGCGGTAATTGTTTATATGTGCACGGGGTGGGGGAGGGTTGGTACATTTACAACTGGGGCTTCTCCTTTTAATATTCATTGACCTGCCAAGTGTGGAGAGGTGATGGGAATGGCTTGTTTAAACCCTGTGAACGGGGAAGCTTTCTGACTTCACGCTGTGCCTAAGTGCTTCTTCCCGGCTTCTCTGGTTGCTAGGGGGCTTTTACTTCCTGTTTCAAATTAGCCTTTAAAGTTCACATGACTTCTTGAGACCGAGACCTTACCCTCTGAAGCTTGGTCAGGTTTTCTTTTTTTGTTTTTTTGTTATAAGGAGCAGATTTCACGGGTACTTCTTTCGTTTGTATATATCTGTACATTTCCTACTTTCTTTTATTTTATGGCCAAGACCCAGGTATCTAGGAATGGGCTATCTCTGATCCCACTGGCCCTAGCAAAATTTGACAGTACCAAGGAAACTTGTCATTGCTCTCATGGTAAGGGCAGTAGCTGCTTTAGGTTGAGGGTCCCTGAACTTTTTAAATTAATTGTTTACCCCCCTTGTTTAATTTCCATCCCTCCCAGCATCCGTGGATAGTATATGAACCAAAAGGTCAGGAAAGCACAACCCAGTGAACCCTAATTTGTCTGTTTGTAGTACATGAAGCACAACACATGCTGCTTCCTCCCGTGCTCATCTGCATTGCATCCCACCATCAGCTGCCCTAGGTCACTCTTCTAACAGCACATCATCAGGACAGGCTTTTGTATGTCGTTGCTTACTTTTTTACCGCTTCAAATACCTGCTTGTATATTTTTCTTTTATTAGAGAAAATTACTTTGCTGTAGATTTGACTGACTTAGGCTTATCTGCTAAGGAAATTACAAGATACTTGAGTGCCGTGCATTTATTACTTCAGTGATACTCCATGCATAAGTAAAGTGATCAAAGTTTGGCCCTTGGATAGCAACAAACTATAGAAAATATACATGTTCTATTATTGTTGTATTATGTCAACAATATCCTAGGAGTAGGTGGCACATGATAGGGCATTTATAAGTCTGAAGGCATTCAGTCTTTTTGATGTGAGTCTTTCCCCTTGGTTGCATATATGGTCATGTGTCTTGGAATTCAGGAACTTAGTATTGTGATGAGAAAAATGGCTGGATCTCTCTCCCCTTTCTGCCCCCCCAGAATAGTATTTTTTTAAGTTTCCATTTTGCTTCAAGTTAAGTATAAAAGAAAGAGCAAGGCAAGTGCTGAAGCATCTGTCACTGTGTTTCAGTCTTATAATTTTGTTTCTTGCAATAGTTAGTATAATGTGCTTTAGAGGTGGGACTATATTTGCTTAAAATGTATTGTTAAACTGGGTAGGATAACTCACATAGCATTACAGTATATTTGCTCTGCTAAGGTAGGTTTGATTATTTGAGTCAGATAAACAAAAACATATTTAAGTTAAATTGGTCTTTTAAATAACTAAACGGAACATAAGTTTACCTCTTGTTGTTTAAAGTGAACTATTAACAGCTTTTCCCCGAGCCCCGTGATACAGCTTTGTTTAGTTAATAGTCCTTGATTTTATTCATAGGGAACCATGTCTCATTTCGTAGGGAATTTTGTGGGGGGGAAAATGGCTAACTGCTGGCTTTGTTTTCTTGATGCAGGCAGTGCAGTCTGAAGAGCTCAGATCACACAGTAGATGTGAAAACAAGGCAAGAAGAGGTGCAGTAGATGAAGGGCTGGGACCTGGGACAACTGAGGAAGATGGTATTGTGGATCTGAGCCATAGCACCTTCTGCCCTCATGCTAATGGCATTGAGGACATGACAACATTTCAGAATGGCTGCGGAAATGGCACCACTGTTACCTGTATAGTAATGGATAATAAAGAACCAAGAAGTATAACTAGCAATGGGGGATGCTATAGCAACAACAGTGCTGAAGAGGAAATACAAGATGACCATCTCAGCCCTTCAAAAATCATGCGCTTTTTCTCTACCCCTAGAAAACGAACTACCTCCAACTCAGAAAGGCCTCGTTCTCTGATTGTGATGAGCAGCTCTTCAACGTGGAATGCTTTGTCTTCCATTAGAAAAATGGGATCTTTCAAGAAATTAAAATCTTCAGTTCTTCAAGGAATTCAGGCCAGAGAAAGCTCAGATGGCTTAAATGAGAACACTGTGGGAAAACATGTCTTGAATGGTGCAGTGGTGAGAGTTCAGACTAACCGGTATTCTTATTCGGGGCCTTTACATGATTCCCATAATGCAGTGGATGGTTTGGCTTCTGATTGCTCTGATGTAGAGGAAAGTGATGATTCCTTCCTGAGGAATACTCACCGATCACGCAGTATCAGACGCGCCTATGGTGTTGGCCGCATCAATTTATTAGACACCGATAAAATTCAGAGTCAGCAGAACTGCACGAGGCCAACGTCTCCCATCACCCAGGAGCCAAAGATCTGTGAAATTTTAGTGAAAGATCCCGAAAACAACAGGATTATCTACAGGAGAAGCAAAAGCACAGATAGCTTAAACTTTCTGAAAAAGAGCTCGTTCAAACGAAAGTCCACCTCAAATCTCACTGACCTCAAGATTGCAAGTGAAAAGCAAGTGCCACAAAGGACAGTAAGCACTTCCTCTGCTGACTCCGACAAAACCAGTGGAAACCCAGAGAGACGGTCAAAACGCTGGAAGAGCCCTATCAGAGCAAAGGATTTTGACAGAGTTCTGAAACTTGTAAGCAATGTTACAGATGTTGCATGGAAGAAAGATGGTCCTATGAGCACGACGACTCCTCTGAACGAACAAAACCAGAGAACAAGGCCAAACAGCAGACTACATGACGACTACTCCCGCAGGGTTTCTAGTAGCAATGAAAATGACAGACGGAGGTGCATTTCCCCTGTGTGCAGTCCAGATTCTACCTTTTCTGGAACTCCGCATCTTCATAGTCCAACTGTTTCTCAGGATACAGACACTGAAACAAATGTATTTACTGGTGAGGCCAACAGCTTCAGGACATTATCATGTGTCTTAGATGATGTTCGTTCCTCACACGCTTTTAACAACTTTAGTGCACTTCCTAATGAAGTGTTTTATGTAGACTCTGATGAACCAAAAAGTACCAGCCAGTTTACGTGTGAATCTGAGCAGCCTAGCATTCCTCTTAGGCCCACTGCCCCTAAACCTCAGAGCCCCAGTGCTGAGAAGGTCAAGTGCAATATTAATTTCCATTGCCCGGATCGTCACAGTACATTGTCACTGAGCTCAATGGAAAGCGAGGAAAGAGTTGAGTTACCTGCTCCGAAGTTGGGGAGAAATCCTGTTTGCCTCCAGGACTCAGTGCAAACTGGGTACTATGATGATGGAAATGAAGACAGTGGCATAAGCAGCCACTCTCAGCTGAGCCTCAATTTAGCTTCTGGTACCGAAGAAAAGAAGGAAGAGGTAAGAAGGAAACCAAACCCCACTATATGTTAGATGTTCAGTTGCAAGGTTTGTTTTTATTCATACAAAAATGACAACCTGAATGCTAGGAGCTGTTGCAGCTTGTTACTGCTAAAATATGCTGACAGCCAGCAAGCAATGATTTTTTTTAATTTATTTATTTAAATACCAGGTTTGGAAGCTAACATCAAATTATTTTTCCCTGTGCATGTTAATATTAAAGAAAGTGTTGGCAGCAAAGCTGCTCAAGTACATTTTCAAGGGCAGTTTATTATGGCCTGCGGTTATACCACCTTGTGACGTGATCATGTTGGATTTTACCAAACTAAGCCAGGACTGTCTGGAGAACACTTAAGTGGTGCTCTGTGCAGTCATGTTAATTCAGTAGGTCGCACTCTTCCCTTGGACCAGAAAATGTTAATGTTTGTAGAGCACAAAGGGGTTGAAAAGCACAACATAAATCAAACCTCTAGTTGTTTTTACTGTGCATTACCAGCAATGATTGTTGGTAAATGAATGAAATATTTGGAGGCATATTTCAAAAGCAGTCAATTATTTTACCTGTAGTTGTCTATTAATGTTTTTAAAATGATGGGCGGAAACTTAATATGTTGCTATTAACTATAATTGATTTCATTGCGCCTAATTAAAAACTTACCACTGTCAATGGATGTGGCCAGTTATAGTGCTTCATTTTTGAGTAAATGGGACACAGTTAAGGTCTTATGTACAGTGTGGGTTTTGCACTAGGCTGAATCAGTGCAGAACTCTAGTGTAGACATCCTGCACCTGTTTAAACTGTGACTTACCTCACTTTCAAAGTGCAACTGGTGCAAGTCACAGTTTAGACTGACGCAGCCCATCTGTGCTAAGGGTATACAACTACATTGGTTTAACTGCACCAGTGCACCCAAAAACAAAACAAAAACATTGTACATAAGGTCTCTCCCTTTTGTATCCCAGATGAAAAGTTTATAAAATCAGAAGATTATGATACGTTCTGCTGCCTCCTGTTTGTCAGAATGACCATTATACTGTCTACAAAAATGTGGAGTGCCGGCATTAATTATAAATCACAAAAATCTCAGCTAGTCAAATTATAGATTTATGAGATGGGTGAGGATTTCTTATGTTGTTGAAGCCTGATGCATTTTGTAAAAAGTGACTGTAAATATTCATTATAAGCAGCATCTTTCTTCTGGACAAAGTAATACAATTAAAATAGCTTAGATTACTGTGATACTCCCAATTGTGGTAAAATTGGGAAATGATATGTAATAATGTATATGCATCAGGGCAGTAGAAGAGTTTCTCATTAGTTCTTGGGATGACAAAACCAGTCCGCTTCATTCTGCAGTTTTCACACCCAGAGTGCACGTGCCGAGATGCTTTTTAACAGCCTGGAGACATGAGAATGCTAATGTATGTTTATGTATGTCAGTTGCATTTCCTGGAAACTATATGTAGCAGTTAAATGACAGAATTAATGCTACCTAACTGCCATCTAGTGGTGAACTATAACCATGACATCATCAAGCACTGAATCCAAACTCCTGCCTTCCCCTCCCAAAATAACTTGGCACTGCTGTAAAGACATGGGTTTTGATGTATGTGTACATCAGACATATAGGTTATTACTAAATATTGTATTATGTCCTGTTTTCTGACACTATCTAAAAATAACCAAATCTTGGTGTTAATATTGACTATGATTTTTACCCGTGAGGATGTGGAGTACTTCTGTGAGTTTTTTTTGCAGTTTATCTCCTTCAGTTGTCTAAACTGAAATGCACACCCTGCACTAGTGGTAGTTATGTATTTTGAGACCTATCAGATGGTAATACCCATGAGAGGCAGATGAAGAACTCAGGAAAATCCAGTGAAGTTTCTGACTAATGGCCCCCTCAGCCTCAGGGCATTCAACCATTGGCTTCTCTGCCCATGCCTGCACAAAGGAAATGTTTGTGCCTTTTGTGAGGAGGATACAGGCATGGAGCGGAAGCTAATAATGCAAGGAGCAATGTTAACTTGGTGGATACCTGGATACAAATTGTGCATGGAACCTGCCCTCCACGGCGAGTGGAAACTTTCTCTTCTCTTCTCTTCCTATCTGCTCCCCACCTCATCCAGAGCCATAAAGCCATAGTCACTTCGAGGTTTGGTCTACACTACCAACTTATGTTGGTAGAACTACATCGCTCAGGGTGTGGATTTTCTGCACCCCGAGTGATGTAGTTATACCAGCCTAACCCCTGGTGTAGACAGTGCTATGTCAAAAGGAGGGCTTCTGCTGTCAACATAGCTACTGCCTCTCAGGGACATGGAGCTCCTACGCTGACAGGAGAAGCTCTCCCATCCGCATAGATAGTGTCTTCACTAAGTGCTACCGTCAGCGTAGACAATCCCTGAGTTGCCATGGATGGGAGGGAGAGCATGCTCTGCTCTCTCCACATTTCCCAGCAGAGTGGAGCTATGGCATCTGCTTTGTGCCCAAGTTTACAGTCACCTCAGATGTCAGAAATATTTTAAATCTGTGCTTATTCAGCCAGTAGGCTTGACCCTGAATGCCACGTGACGACATGCTGGTTTGAACTTTTGACTGGGATTCCTTCATAGCTTTGCTTTCTACCTCTCCATTACAGCATTGCATTCCCCCCGCCCCCCAAAATGCCTTTGTGGCAGTTTCAGAGCATTCAGAATAAGCTATCATTTTAAGATATAACTTTGGATAGCATGAGTACACAAATCTTAGGATGGAGTCCTAATTATAAATACAACACGCTGATGGGCTATCCTCCAAAGGTTCAGAGTTTCACTGGATCTTATCTGTACACTTATGCAATGCATCCATTAGCATTCTGTGGTCACATCTACATAATTAAATATACAATACACATCATGCTGAACAGAGATGGGCCCAGGCCAAAACCACAGAGCCCCAGCAAATTTGGGGAAAGTTCAGATCCAGATTTTAACTTTGTGGTACAGGCCGGTATCTAATACAGTTCAGTTTGAATCTTATACAGACTCCATCTAAGCGTAATCGACATGTTCCTTTGCCTCAGGCCCCAAGCTGTTCTTAGGTAAGTTGGTTTAAGATAAATCCCTGAAAGTTACCTAAATGCTTGTTACTAAAAGGTCAACCCAAAAAATTTAGGTAAGGTCAAAACACCTCAACGGAGAGTTTTATGTTGAGGAATTGCCTTGATATGGGGCAGAGGGAATGAGATACCTACTTGGATAACCTATTTGTCTTCTAACAGACAAATCTACATCATCATACTTAGTAGCACTATTGCTCATAGCTCTGCTGCAGCCTTTTCTGGATCTATTCTTCTTTCTCTTGCTATTCCAGCACCTGGCTGTTTCCTTCTCCCAGAAGTTGGGTGACAAGGACATAGCGCACTTATCCCAAATGTGTTTTTGTCTGAAGTGAGTTATGGGTGATCTAAGCCCTGAGACTACAAGCTGTTCTGCAGGGGCAAACTCTTGCACCCATGAGGAGCCCCTTGAAGTCAGATGTTAGCCTGTGCAGATCAGCATGAAGGATTGGGGCTCTACTCAGCTACTGAATTCAGGAAGCAGAAGGTTGAGGCCATTTTATTTATTTATTTATTTTAAGGCCTTGTTTTGGGTGCTCCCTAGAGCATATATCCTTGTCAATTTCACTACAGATGTCCACTGTCTTTGGTTGTTACTGTCAGTGGAGCAGTAAGGGCTACCCTGGAAACCCCTACTCCTGGCAGTCCTTACCCAAGTACTTCCAACCAAGCTGAGGGGCAACTCATGTTTGGCTAATGTAGATCAACTATAGTATTAAAAACAGAGTACTTATGTGAGCAAGCGTTTGCAGGGTCTGTCCCTTAATGAAAGAGACTTCCTTGGTGTCTCTACATTTCCAATCTGACCACCTTGTTTCTCTTAAACTCAGCTGAGTCCTGTGTTCTTTTTAGCCTTCTCCTTTTCAAAGGACTGGCAAAAGTTGTTTAAAGGTCAAATAGCCAAGTGTTGGGGTATTTCTACACTACAATTGCACTGTAGTATAGCTGCTTCTTGTATTGACAGAAGGGGGTTTTCTGTCGATGTAGTTAATCCATCTCTTTGAGAGAGGATAGCTAGGTTGACAGAAGAATTCTTCTGTCAATCTAGCTCATCTATGATGGGGGTTTATGTTGACCTAACTATGTTCAGAGTGTGAAATTTTTCACAGCCCTGAGTGTAGCTAGGTTGATCTCATTTTTAGGTGTAGATCAGGCCTTAGTTGCCCTACCCAGTCAATTAGTAAGTACTTATCAGAGAACTAGCAAATAAACTTCATGAAACTTTGTTAATCTATATCTGTGACTAGAACTGAAAATTAAGGCCTTGTCTACACATGCAAATTGTCCTGATTTAACTAAATTGGCAAAACTCCCCTGTGGGGACACTTAAATCAGCTTAAGAATGCCTTATGTTAATTCAGTTTGTCAGTTTTTTCAGCTATAATGGAGTGACTTAAGAGTGTCCACACAAGAGGATTGCACCAATGTAACTAAATCTGTTTAGTTAAATTGGTGAAGTTTTTGTGTGTAGACAAGATCTAAATTCCCCCCAGATACCAGGATTTTGCTGCCCTTGCTGAGATCTAGTTTCCTCTGCATTATGCTTTTCTATAGCACTTGTAACGCACATTTTGCTTTCAGCTGGCATCAATAGATGATTAAGTATGATGATGGGTTTGGAATATTTCCCATGCTCTTGGCCTCCCTAAAGACGAGTCCTATGGAAGATGTGGAAATGACCGAAGTGTTAAATGACTTGTTTGTTTTAGTTTTCACCAAAAAGGTTAGTAGCAATAGTGAATGCCAGTGGAAAATAAGGTGGGATCAGAGGCTAAAATAAGGAAAGAACAAGTTAATTTTTAACTTAGACAAGTTAGATGTCTTCAAGTCACCAGGGCCTGATGAAATACATTGGAGAATGTAGGTTCTGACTCCCTGGGTGCTCCAGGGCTGGAGCAC